TTGGGAGGGTTTAGTATATGACTTGGGAGGGTTTAGTATATGACTTGGGAAGGTTTAGTATATGACTTGGGAGGGTTTAGTATATGACTTGGGAAGGTTTAGTATATGACTTGGGCATATATGATTAAATTCTCCATACCATCATATACCTGTGCAATACTGCTCCAATATCACCATAACTGGCACCTGTCACAGTAATAGATAATCTCTACGAGAATACATCAACAATGGTGCTTTAACAAAAGCATGCTTCAGGGACTGAAATGCTTGCTCACATTCATGTATCTACCCAAAGTGCTTATTTACTCTAGTCAAAATAACCAATGGTTTGTAATTATTAGAAGAACTGGACAGAAACCTTGAATATAATTACATAAAAATAAAAATCTAGAAACATGTGGACCTTTTGTTTCGGACCAATCCTGGACCAGTGCAATCTTAATCAATGGACCACAAAATCCCATTTCTGTGCACGTTAACTCAAACTCTCTTGGTTTCGGTTTCAAGGATATTCTAAGATACCAATCTTTTGTTCACAGCATCTATGTTAGTAAATCTTTTAGTCAATGCTACTCTCAAGCCTTGTTGTTGCTGGCTTTTAAGACTGTTCATGAATAGAATCAGCTATAGTCACAATTACTGATAGTACAACACCATGACATATTGTACTTTCAGTGAGATTGATTAGTAATTAAAAACTTAAGCAAGTCTGTAGAACAGTTCTTACAAAGTACTGAAAGCAGTCTTAGGTCTATTTCCATCATACAGTAACTGGAAGACAGATACAGCATATTGAACCAATGCATATTCAATGTTCAATGGCACCCATGTGTCAGGGATGAAATGTTTCTGAGACCTATGTGGTGTTACATGGGTTTGTTTGGGGGCAGCTCTATGAACTTATTAAAAACTTGCTTAAGAATGTTGCCACGTTCTCGTGAAGCTCATGCTTTCGAATCTTGAGCTCAGCTCTCCGTACTGATTGGTTATCCAGTGGGTTCAAACTGTTGGATAACTCAGCTGTGACTGTGTCTTAGTCATTGAGTTACTCCTAATCCAAGTGCTCTAAAACGCTTCATACCTAACTGCCTGTATTCAGCATCAAACACTGTATCACTTGATGCTAAGTCCAACCATTCCTGGAGACAATCTGCCAAAGACATTTCACGAAATGACTTTTCATTGTCGTTTTTTAGGTGGTTAAACTGTTTCACCATTGTGAAACAGTATTGGAGACAAGGTGTGTGGCCAAAATACTGGGTGTGCTTGAGGAAGGTTTCCTCATTTTCCCATAAATTCCTAGGGCAAAATCAGCAGCAGAACACTACAATACAATACCCATAAATACCTAGGGCAAAATCAGCAGCAGAACACTACAATACAATACAAATACCCATAAATTCTTAGGGCAAAATCAGCAGCAGAACACTACAATATAATATAAATACCCATAAATTCTTAGGACAAAATCAGCAGCAGAACACTACAATATAAATACAATACCCATAAATTCTTAGGGCAAAATCAACAACAGCAGCACACTACAATACAATACAATACCCATAAATTCTTAGGGCAAAATCAGCAGCAGAACACTACAATACATAGGTATGCTGGGTTCTGCATACAATTCAGCTGTTGTATGGAGTCTTAAGTAATTGACAGTGTGCACTGTAAACTTAAAAAAAACTCCTGACTAGCACAAATATATATATCTTAGCACTTCTTGGCAAACTTCATGATCGTAGGCAACCCTTACGACGTTCAGCTTCATCAGATTAAAAACTTTGACTGAATGTGGTGTTTAGTACTTTTCCATCATTACATTTCCTATTTTTCTACATAACTTCAACAAGATAAAGTACTGTATGCTTCCATTTTCTTTTCACGACTTTTTTGACAATTTGTGATGTTTCAGATTAAACGTGACCATTTTTTGTTCATGCCTGTACTTTTACAGTAGAAGTATTTGCGTTGAGTTGGAATACATCATTACAGAAACAAGTCCGAAATAAATTAATCTGTGTATACTTTGAAATCTTATATGTTCATATTTCCTATTCATTGTTATTGGTAAATGTGAATAATTAGAAAACAGATGACAATAAAAACTATATTTCAAAGCTTTCGGGACGATAATTTCTAGGAATCCAAACCACAACTGAAAAATTAGTTCCATTTACAATGCAGCAAAGGTAAAAATCCTAATATATTTGTTTGAAGTTAAGCACAAAGCTACACAATGGGCTATCTGTGTTCTGCCCACAACGGGTAAAAATCTGAAATCTGATTTAATTTTTAGTTGCGGATAAAAGTTCAGAAAGACTCACCTTTTCCACAATTAACACTTTGACCTCTTGACCTCCAGTTTCTTCCTGATTAATCTGATAGATGAAAACTGTGTGAATAATGTACTAGACTTACATTATAAATGTATTGTTTCGAAAATTTAAGTAAATAAATTATTTTGTGAACTGCTTTACTTTAAAGTTCTAAAATGCTTTAAACCTTTACTAGCTATTAAATTGTTGTAAATGTTACAAAAATGTTGACGTATATGATTAAATCAAAGAACAATATTTCGTCCCATCGTCTTAAAGGTGCCCGGATGTTGACGTATATGATTAAATCAAAGAACAATATTTCGTCACATCGTCTTAAAGG